TTCCCACGTTTGGAAACTTTTCTTCCATTACTTTTTTTTGTTTTTTGGTCTTTTTGAGACAGTGTTTCACTATGCAGTTCAGGCTGCCCTTGAACTCACTTTGTAGGCCAGGCTGGTCTCAAACTCACAGTGATCCTTCTGCCTCACTGCCATTATTTCTGTAAACAGTTTTTTATAGCCTTTGTGCTATCTTCTGGTTTTTTACTCATTCCAGTTAATCTTAGATTAGTCTTCTTTGTATCATCTAGCAGCTGTTGGATCCATTTTTCATGTTATCTTGTAGGGGGTTTTTGTTTGTTTTGTTGTTGTTGTTGTTTTGTTTCATTTTGCTTTTTTGAGACACAGTCAGGTGCTATGTAAGCCAGGCTGGCCTCCTTGAACTTGTGGTGATCCTCCTGCCTCAGCCCTCCCAGTGCTGGAATTACAGGCATGTACCACCACATCTGGCAATTTTGTGTTGTTTTAAAGAAGCTGTCTCTCATTAACTGATCACCATTCATACTCCTGTCTTCTAGATCTGACACCCTGTCCTCACATTGTTCAGTTTTGCTTCCTATACTTTCATAATAAGGAATTTTTAAATTCCTTATTATGGCTTGTGTCTAGGTGTCCCCCCAAAGCTTCATGCACTTATAGGTGGGGATTTTCACAAGTGGCTGCATCTACAGTGCATAATGCTGGAGTTAAATGGTGATGCTGGGATTAAGGGTGTGTGATTACTAAATTAGTCCACTTACTGATTTGGCATAGTTCTGAGAGTGGATAAAGGGAAGACCCTCCCTGGATGTGAGTGCAGAACGCAAGGGACAAAAAGATGGCTACTGGGGTCAATTCTTATTGCTTGGTACTTCTTGCCACTTCACTGCTTTGCTGCCTTCTGCCTGCCATGAACTGTTTCTCCTCTGCAATGCTCTACCGTGCCACCATACCGTGGAGCCAACCAACTATGAACTAAAACCTTTACAAACTGTGAGCCAATTAAACCTTCTGCCTTAACTTTGGGTGTCAGGTAGTTTGTCTCAGCAATAAGAAAAGTAACTAAGACACTCCTGAATATCAGTTTGGAATATTTTATGCTTGCATCTTTTTCTTCAGTGCCTCTAAGTTTCTATTAGTGTCTTCTCTAGAATTGCTGATCATTTGTTTTCTTAGGATCATTATCTCTTTTATTATATATGCTTTGAATTTTCCAAGTGCCTTATTGATCTGTTTTGTTACTTCCACTGTTATTGCTTCAGATATTTCTGCTGTGTGGCTTTTGGTTTTCTTCCCCCATGATGCACCCTGGATCACCTTTGTGGAACTGGGAGGTTCGGTGTCATTTTGTTGTCTTGTTTTCTGTTGTTTCTATTTTTGTTTGGTTGTTCATTTTTTTGTGCTGAGGCTTTGGGGTTGATTATAGTGTGTTGCTTTATTGCTGGTGTGAAGACTTCTTTAACGTCTACTTTTCAGAGTTGTCCTCTGGCCATAGCTAGCTATGGGCTTTGCCTCTGTTCCAGGTTCTAACCACCTCCGTTTATTTGAGAGGTCACAGCCGGTTTGGCCCAGTACCCAGTTCTTTAGGATTGGCTGCTGCATTATTATTTATGACCCTCAGGCAACCCAGGAAATAGCATATAGAGAAAACCAATTGTTTGCAACAACCAGGTCACCTTGGCTAAAGTAGAAAAATCAGCAACAACAGTGTCAATACAAACTGCACATTAAGAAACCCTAAGAACCAATAATGTATTACCCATAATCATAGAAAGAAAAGCCATACTTACAGTGTAGACTCTAAGAAAAACCAGATGCTGATCTACAGTAACCATCTACTCAACAGAACAATTTTACCTTCATTAACAGTGTTCAAATGTAGTAAGATATAGTTAACTATCTGCAGATTCATAAAGCTTAATGGTTATACTAGTAAGGGTAGACTTTGTGGGCAATGGGACAATGAAAAAAAGTCGAATTTGAAAGATTAAGCAATGGAATACGAGAAGGTGATACAGTGTGAAATAAAGGATCTTATTAAGAAGTAAAAGGAACTCAGTACCATTAGATAAAAATAATAGTAAAAATCAACAAGAAAAAGGATAGTAATGTAGATTAAACTAGAGGGAAAAGGAAAAAATAATAATGGAACAAATTAAAACAGAGAGAGAGAAAAAAATGAGGAGAAAAAAAGATCTAATCAAACAAACAAAGTAATAATAAAATGAAGTATCTCCAAAGTGCTCAGGGAAATTAAGTAGAATCCAATCAGGATCTTCTAAGAACAGGGTTGTTAGTTGCTTGGCACTTCTGCAGCCCCAAGCAGAAAGGAAACAACATGTAGAGCTGTCTCAGGGTGGATCAAGGGGGAAGAAGATCAAAAGCCACACAACAGAAATGTCTAAAATAATAACAGTGGAAGTCACAAAACAGATCACTAAGGCAAATAAAACTCCAAAACCACACACACACACACACACACACACACACACACACACACAGTAGAGGGAAAGAAAGAATCCTATGTATTTCCACAGATGAGTGGTTTTCTTTCAGAACCTGCAGTCTTTGGAATCTAGTAAGCCACATTCCTCTCTGCCCTTCTTTATAGCCTGTGAGTTTGTGCGGTGATCTCCCTATTCGAGATGTCCCCCATCTATAAACCCCAGTCCATGGCAATTGTCCAAGCTGAGACATATCCCCACTCACACTGCTACATGGGGAAGCAGTCAGACCACTGGCCTCCTCGGAATGCAGGATGCTGCGCTCAATGCCATCACCTTCAGATCCGGCCAGCTCTAAAAGCCAGTTCTCTCCGCCTCTCTTCACACCTCAGAATACAGCATTTCCCTTCCTGGCCTGAGCATGGACTTCTGAGGGGATCTCTGGGGATCGCTATCTAAACCTCACCCTCTCGCCAGTCTGTCTTCCGTGGCTGTCTCCCACCCGGTCACTGTAGTAGGAAACACTTCATTCCTGAAGTGAAGCTGTAGTACAGGTGTTCTATGGCTCAGTCTCAATCAATGCCTTCCCCAAATGGTGTCAGATTATTTCTCTGGCCCTATGGTGGGCACTGCACTGGATTTTTTCTCCAACTCTATCCCACTGTGGAAAGGTCACCCTTGGGATAAAACTCTACACTGTTTTGTTTTTTTCTTAAGTTTCTACCAACTTGTGGTTTTCTTGGGGCTAGCATTGCTGGCCCATCCGTTATTTCTCCCAGAAGCAGCCAGTTCTTCTGTGCTTACTTCTTCTCCAGGGTGTTGGCCTCTTTCTCCATCGGGTTGGCTGCCTGGTACCCCCCTCTGTGGCTCTGTGCTTCTTAGGACTATTTGAAACAATGAAGTATCTCCAATGTCTCCAGGGAAATTAAATGGAATCCAATCAGGATCTTCTATTCTGGATTTTGGCCTCATCTAAGATCAGGGTTGTTAGTTAGTCAGTACTTCTGCAGCCCCATACAGAAAGGAAAGAAACTGTAGAGCTGTCTCAGACTTGGCATTGGCTGTACAGGGCACAGAATCCATGGATGTGGAGTTGGTTGGTGACCAGTGAATTAGTTGGTCCATTGCACTGGGTCATGGATCTGTCCATTCCCCTACACATCTGCTTAATAACAATAAATGTCTGTCATCTCAGCCTCACACACATGTAGGCAGGGTAAAGTACTATTGTCTGTCATCACGTGTTTTACTTATCAATTCTCACACGCAGATGTAGTATCTGATACCCATGTGTTTTGGCTTTACCGTGTGTGGTATAGGCAGTGGAGTTAGCACTACATTGCATCCTCCTCTCTATAGTGTTCTATTGTCACCTAAAGGCCACATTCAAAAATTTCAAAATCAAATCATGAAAAATATTGCCAAAAGTCACATAATGTTAAAAACTTATGATCTTGTGAGGCCACAATACTAACTGTCCAGGGCTGCATGTGGCTGTGGACCATAAGTTGGACACACCTGGTTTGGAGTGTCCCAAACTGAAGTATGTCCTTGGGAATTACATCATAGTGTGCATAGGGTGGAAGGGAATTGTAAAGAGGAAATTCAAATTGGGCCCCATACCTCTCTTTCATTCCTGTCTCCAATACCTGCTCTCTCAAGAAACTCCTGAGCGTCAGGGTCTGTTAGCTCAGCACCCACCTTCTGAAAACCATGGTCCCAGGGAAGCCTCCCAACTCTGGCATAAGGAATGCAGAGAAGATAAGACTGAGAGAAATCTCTCTTCCTGCAGGGTGCATTAAAGGCTACTTGTGGATAGATGGGGATCCCAATGTGGGAGAACCAATGCTGGAATCAGAGGAAGTGCTTTTTCTGAAGATCTGTCCTTTAAAAGCCTTCTCCTCTCTCAAATTATAATTTCCTTTCGGAATCATCATAACCTTTCAGAAATATTAATATACAGACATCTAAAATGTCTACCTTTTTTTACCCACCCATTCCTAAACATACCTCCTTAATTCAAATACTCTGCCAAGACATTTTTATGCCAGGCTTTATTGTCAGGTGCTGGGGTCGCAGCAAGATGGAATGCCTGCTTTCCAGGAACAGATAAGAAAATGGATTTCCATCAGGTATTGAGAGCTTTGTCAGGTGTAAGAACATACTCATGAAGTTGAGATGGGAATAACTGCTTAATGAGTGTGCAGTTTTCTTCTCAGTTGGTGAAAATGCTTTGGGACTAGTTTAGATCCTTAACCTATCATTGAAAGGCCAAAGAGAGAGAGAGAGAGTTTCATTTGAGAGATGGCTTCTGAGCACATGGAGAGATTCATCAGGTGAAGAAGAAAGGGGACATTCAGTTAGAGGGCGTAGCCTCTATGCAAAGGCCTGCAGGCCAGGGAGAACTAGAAGTTTTCAGACAAGTTAAAAATTCACCTGGCCCCAGAAATGAAAGATGTGGGGTCGGATGGGAGAAAGGAGCGGGGTATGAGAACCGAGGTTAGGTGGAGGAAGCTGAAGGTGGCACCCCTAGGAATTTGGATCCACCCCAAGGACACGGAGAAACCTTCACAAATACAATTAGAGATGTTAAGATTATTTTAATATTTCAGTTTATCAACATTCCTTAAATATCAAGTGTTTAGATTTCCAATGTTGTGCTATTTATAAACCTTGCGATTGTAAACATTTATTTTAACACAAGCTTCATCAACATCCCGCGAAAATTTTCTAGAAGATGGAAATAAGTACTGTACAATGATCTTGAATTCTTGTGCTGATTCACTTCCTAGTGATCTAGGACTACCCTTAGCAAAGTACATTATGCACATGTGCTTACAATTTGAGAAAATTACTGTTTAAAATGTGGATGCTCTGCTTGTCCCGTCAGTACTGTTTGACACTTTCATGTCTGAAGGTGAGCCTCAGGAGCATTGTTCTTGAGCAAAATCCCATCCTAACTCCAGGCGCGACGGTACTCTTATGATAAGCGTCTTTAGTGGATAGTTTTCTCTTCTCGCATCTTGGTATATTCTGTTCCCGACTTCCTTTGAATAACAGGACACTAAATAAAGCTGCATTATTTTTTACTCTTTAAAACTAGGCGGGTGCTGGGGATTTAGCTCAGTGGCACAGCGCCTGCCTGGCAAGCACGAGGTCGTGAGTTCGATTCCTGGTACCGGACAAAAAAACCAAAAATAAATAAATAAATTTTTAAAAAAATAAAACTAGGTACTTTTATAAGAACATTAACCCGTTTTTTTTTTTTTCCGTTCTCCTTACCTGGCTCCTCCAACTTCCCACTGCCCTTTTAAACCGTCCTCGTTTAAGGAAGCGCAGGTGCGGCAGCCGTGACCATCTTGGTGTAACGGACGTGCCTGGGACTTGTGTACTTGGGTTATCTCTTTAATTCTTTCCGCCCACCCTCTGGGGACCAACAGCTTGTGGGCCGAAGCCCCGCCCACATCCGGGCCCTCCCCCTCCAGCCTCAGCGTCCCGTCTCCACGGTAACGCCCCTCCCAGGTACCCAACAGGGGCCACCCGGCAGGATCTGGTGGCCGCAGCTTCTGCTTTATATTCCGGCCGTGGTCAGCCCACTCCTGGATCTTCGCCCTTACTGCACCCCGGGGGTGCAGAGCGCGGTGCTGTGGGGAGAGCTGGGGCCGCTGCAGCACTCGGCGCCCCCTGAGCGGAAAAGTTGGTGTCTTCGGGCCGGCGCGCCCAGGTCCGCAGGTCAGACCTTCAGACCCGTCCCGAGCCCGCCGCTCCTCCGGAACGTGAGTGCCGGCGGCCTTGGGATCCGAGCTACCGTTTCTGTTGTTGGGTTGTTTCGGTACTGAGGACTGAACCCTGAACTGCATCCTTTATATTTTTTAAAGTTTGAAACAGGGTCTCGCTACATTGCCCAGACTGGGTTTGAATATGCGATCCTCTTGCCTCAGTCCTGCTCTACTCGTTTGCTATGCCACACACCTTTGTGTCCACTGCATGTGTAGACTCATTACATCCTCAGCAACTCCGAAAGAAGTAACCATAGGTCGGTCTTTGCAGATGAGGAAAGTGCCCCCTAACGAGGTGAAGCGAGGGCCCCAGGTCTCTCAGCTAGACAGTGGTCGGCTCACACAATACGAGTCAGGCAAACCGGACGCCAGAAGCTGCTTTTACCCATTCCCAGAACGCTAATGATGTTACGCGGTCTACCTAGTACTGTTACCTTCGTTATACTCTACGTACAGAGTACTCTACATGTAAGCGATAGGAACATCAGGAAGCTTGATTAAAATCTGCCGCTCTTCTCTGATTTATAATAAGTGAAGTTAATAATCAGGGTATTTTTCCCCATGCTGTGTAACTCCCATAATATATTTTGATTTTTTGCTTTTTTATTTTAATTAGAGTCCGTATTCCAATTTGGATGTTCAGAAAAGAGAATTTAGATTATCCAAGCAAAAATTTTTTTGAATATACAAAATCATTTAGTCAAAGTGCAGGCGTAAGCATTTTCTCTATCAAGCCCTACAGCGCTGCTTATACATGGTGGGTTGGGCTTCTCAACACCCCCCATATTGCTTACCCTTCTTTTTAAATTTAAGAACACCATGATACAAATTTACTTTTGATGGCCACCGTCATTTACGTAAAGAGGAAATGGTCCAATCATACGAAGTCCCAGTTGCCCTTACTGCCTTCAGTAATGTCTTTCACTGTTAAAAACTTAATGAAAAAACAGGAGATACTAATAGCCACATAATAGTAAGTTAACAAATAATATGACTCTACAGATATAATAGAGGAAAAATCTAAAGAGAAAAATGTACCAATGAAATTATAAAAACTAATGTATTTTATTTACCCAGAATGCCTCTCACTCAAGCCGAAAGCGTTATAAAGAATATCATTCGAGAAATAGCACAAGAGTGTGCGGCCCATGGGGAGATTGTCTCTGAAACTCTGGTTGCTTTTATGGTAAGAATGACTCGTTGTGCAAATTATTTTTTTATTAGAGATGTTTAAAATTCTGTCGAGCATTCCTTGATGTGTTTTGGCTGAAAACGTTGAGGTAATGGAAGAAGTTAGTAAAATATCTTTCAAAAGACTGCAAAGCATGTAAGTTTATAATGACTGATTTAGAAGTCTTCATGAGTTTTAGCAACATCAGTAGTGCTGTCCTGCGGAGGAATTTCTTTAACGTATGTTTTTGCTCATTGTTGTTAAAATTACTCATTGCTCTGGCTTCTGTTGTCTTGCTTTTGGTAACAATACACAGTGAGAATATGATAACATATATCATAGTTTCCCAATGTAAAATCCCACTATTGCTTTCGACTTTTTCCCCACATAATTTTTCTAGTACCATATTCAAGTTTGGTATTTATTACTTCCTTTCTTCAACCTCTATTGAAGGGCTGGGTAATCATAAAAAAAAGTAGCTGAAAATTCAAGCTAAGAGTAATCAAAAGGTAATTTAAAAACAGGAAGATATGAAATTCATAGTAATGTGAAAAACTTATGTAATCGTTTCTTTTCCTACCCTCAGGTGAAAGCTGTTGTTCTAGATCCAAGCAATGGCTTTAACATAGACAGAACCCTCATGAAAAGTGATGTGCAGAAACTCGTTAAGGTGATTGTCTAAAGACCCTAAAGTTTGGAATTACTTCTTTTCCATTTAATATGCAGTATTTTGTGTTATTTATTACTGACTTCAGTGACATGAAAAAGAAATCAAATAGTGGTACAAAGACATTAGGAATTTCTTTTCTTTTTTTTTTTTTTTTTTTTTTTTTCTGAAAGTCTGGAGATACATAGGCTGCTCTTCCTGGCTTCCTAGGGTATCTCCTTTGGCATGTGGCTTTCATCCGTGGTCACAAGATAGCACCTGTAGGCAGAAACAAGGGGGAAGGCAAGGGAATACTATATATGTGACAACTAGATTTGTCATTTTCTATCTAGGAAATAATCCTTCCGATCTCAGAATCCCTCCATTCTCCTTACGTGTATTGGCCAGAATGGCACTGTGACTGTGGGACTTTCCCCACCCTCTCTTCTGAGGGAAGTGTTTGCCCCAGTCCAAATTAGGACTCTTAATAAGAAAGGAGGGCCATACATACCAGGAAAGAAGGAGTGTTCACCCAAGTATTTGTGTGATATCTTTTTATTAATCTATAACATTGAAAACATTATAAACTGGTTTGTCATATGCTGTAAAGTGAAATAATTCTAAATTCATAGTGACCAGCCGTGCATCACAGTGACTAGCCATTTCTAAGAGACAGTGATATAATAAGCGAGTTCAACAAGAAAGGCACTCACAAGAAACTCAAAAAGGCAGGAACGAACAAAGCTTTATTAGCCAGCTGTTGGACAGTCTCTAACCAGGAGCCACAGAATATGTCCACACCACTCTGTCTCTCACCTTCCGTTTAAGTACATTTTAGGTTTCCATAGTAACCATTACTTCATTTTAGAAATCTCACAAGAATGTCACAGAATTATCACAAAGTTTACCTTTCTCAGAAGGTAGGACAGCCAAAATCCAAATGACCATTGCAGTTTAACCTTCAGCTTACTACCCAAACTCTCCTGTTTGTTCAGTTCCTATTTTATGACTTTACTCTGCCTTTAAGCAAGTTGATAACTAACCAAAGGGCCTGGGTGTGGGGGTGTCAGTTACAGCTTAAGTGACTGCTCTTACTATGAAGTTAAAACCAGAAAAAATGGAGTCTCTCTTGCCCTATTAACATAAGCAACCGGAACTGGAGGAGGAGCAATTAAGAAACTGAAGTATACTGGCTGAGTGGGGGCATTTTCTGTTACAGTCTATAGACGCTTCTGAGTTCAAGAAGAAATTTGGAAGCCTGGAGCTTGGAATGTTGTTAAGATAAGTCTGCAGTAGTGACTCCTTTATATCACAGGCAGCCTAGAGCTAGGTTGGTCTAACCTGATTTTAAAGGTGGTATAATTCCTTTTCTTAACCATGAGTAAGGAAAACGATTTCGAACTGTGATGGTCAATCAGAAATTTTACTGGCAAGCTATAGAGGCGGCTCAAGGAGGGACAGAAAATTTTTCTCCTTTTCATAGCTCCACAAGTGTTTTTTTTTTTTTTTTTTTTTTTTATTTCCCAACTCAGTTAAGCTGGAATCAAACATTTTTTTTGCCAGTATTGGTTTGCAACCCAGGGCCTTTGCACTGAACTACATCCCCAACCCCCACCTTTTTTTCTGAGACAGGGTCTTGCTAAGTCACTAAGCTTGCAGTCCTCCCGCCTCAACCTCAGAGTGCTGGGGTTACCAGTGTGTGCCACCATGCCTAGCTTCAATATACTTTTAATGTGACAGGTAGAGAAACTCAATGTATAATTCAAGTCATCAGAAATGTTTCCTTTTTTCTCAATTGAAAGTCAGGTAGATTAGCTAATCCTTTTATTTGTAAAGTCTACTTTTAGGACAATACCTACTTCTCTACTGGAAGGGACCCAGATGCATGGGTTTCCTTAAAGACAGATGTTCTCAGTCTTGCATTCTACTGAACCAAATTTCCAGATCTTTAGTTCTTATTTTGAGAGAGGATCTCCTAAGCTGCCTCAAAATTGCTACCCTCCCGCCTCTGCCTCATGAGTAGCTGGGATCACAGTCATGCACTATGCCTGAAGAAATTTGAAACAGAGGGTAGAGCCAGAGAAATTTCGTGAGGAGAGGGCAGCACTTGCAGCAGCATTTTATAAAATGCATGTGACCTCCAGCATCAGTATAGTGTTGATCCAGGCTCAGATACATAGTAGTGAGTATCTAGGGGAGCTCTAGACTGAAATACAAGTTTCATGGAACATTTACCCGCATTTATAGTTCTCAGACTAAAACATCAGGCTTCTTGCCCTCAACTGGACTATTAGCCACCTTGGTTAACTCAAGGGAAATAGCTTATTACTTGGTACATATTGCTGGTTAAGTAAACTATAAAACCTGAAGTTCTCAAGGAGAAAAAAAAATAATAAAGAGGGGCTGTTGGTGTATTAATATCAGGAACTATTGCTTTGGTGTTTCTCTTTGTTTTTGAAAATAACTTAGTGTTTCAGGAAATAGAATCTTTTGTTGGCTATTCTGTTCTAGCTTTGTGTGACTCGGCTACTGGATACTAAAAATCCATCCCTGGACACCATTAAGATGCAAGTTTACTTTGATATGAATTACACAAGTCGAGGTAACCTATTACCTACCCATTTTGATACTTTCAAGAGGGTTTTTATGTTGTAATTCAGGTAAGAAAGGTATTTGATAAGGACTTTATTTAATGAAATTAACATTTGTTGTCTTTTGAAATGTTTCCCAACTTCAATGTGTCAGGCAGTTTTCTGTTCCTATAGCAAATACTTGAGATAATAAAGACAGGACAGGTTTATTTTGGCCCAAAATTTCAGGGTTCACTGCATGACTGGTTGGCCCCGTTGCTTTGGCCCGTGGTGGTACATCATGGTGAGAGCGTGTAGTAGGGAAAAACCACTCCCCTCACTGCTGGGAAGCTAAAAAGGAGGAAAGACTGGTGCCCCACAATGCCCTTGGAGTGCCTGCCCCCAGTGGCACAAAGATCTTCCGTTGTGCCCTACCTCTTCTGGGCTCACCACCTCCCAAAAAATGCAGATAAAACCTTTAACACATAGACCTTTGGGGGATACTTACCTAACTATAGCACTAGAAAAGTATAATAATTTTGGAAATGCTTTATGAGAAAAATACCAATAGGCTTTGTAAATGTTGAAAGTAATTTCAATTTTTATGCCCATAGAAATTATGTTTCCAAGTCTGCTGGTTTTTAACCTTTATGGTACTAAGACATAATAATTAGAAAGTCGAACATCCATCCCACTGAAGTTAAAAAATTTTTAATTTATAGATGTCTCTCATTTCTGGTTTACTGCTTCATAATATGTAAATTATATAGCTACCTAAAAATGAAATTAATTATGGGAAATTTAAATTTAGCATTTATTACATTACATAAATAATTTAATGCATGTGTCAAAGTCAAATTGTAAATAAGACAGAATGGAAAATAAATTCCTCTATACACTGTATCTTCCCCTGCTATACTTACTGTTTTTTGTAGTTATCATTAATCTTCACTGATTATTAACCATTTCATCATTTCTTTGTCATTTTTCTCTCTAGGCATTAGAGTTTCAGTTATGCTACATATGTAAAATCATATGTAATTTTAAATTTTGCTTAATAATACATTTTTGAATAGGTAAAATAGTCATGAATTGAAGAAATGTAATTTATATATTTTTTAATTTGCAAAAAAGTTCTCATTTACTTTTGTGGTAAGGTTATGGATATGAACTGTGTGTTCTTGAAATATGATTATTGGTCTTGTAATAGGAATGTCAGATGTCTTTCTGAGTCAGTCGCAAGAATTGCTAAAAATGGCCTTTTGACACAATTAAACCTGTACATTAGCATATCATAGGAAGACAGAGGAGGAATAAAGTTCTTGATGCATATTATCACTAATATTACTCAGAGGAAGTTTATCTAGAACTAGAAATATACATAATTGACAAAGAATATATATACTACATATATACAATATATATGACCTATATTTATAGCATATGTAAGCACATATAATTAGATACTATATGTAGTGTGTGTGTGGTGTAGAAATGGTCTTCTCTACTTTCCATTTAATTGGGAAGTGTAGTCTTTTCTGATATTTGCTGTTAGATTGTTTTAATTCTTAAGTGTTTTAGTAAAGTATTCCATTTAAATCTCTGTAGTAAATGTTTCCCGCTGCATCTCTGTTTTGAGGTTGTGTGATGGCCACTGATTTTTTAGTTATTACATCCTAAGAAAGTACTTGTTTCCCTGCAGTAGAAATGACAAGCACTTTTCTCTGGTCCTTATGTGAGAATTCTAAATATCAAATATATGGAATGCTGTTATTTGCCAATTTTAGAGGACTTTCTTGAAGAACATCACCGAGTCCTAGAGTCCAGATTAAGCTCTGTTAGCAGAGAAATTACGGACAACAGAGCAAGTGCTAGAGAAGAGCTGGAAAGTCTCTACCGAAAGATTGTCAGCTATGTGTTACTACGCTCCGGGCTTGGATCCCCTACAGACCTCAAGATCGTCAGAGAGGCAACAGGTACAAAATAGAAATAATTTCCATTCCACAAGTGAAAATATATGATTATTATATTCTATAAAATATGTTAAAATTGAAGTTTCCTTTTTATCTGAAAAAACAACACAAGTTAGAATTTACCCAGACTTCTTTTAAACCGTGCATCCAATTCTAAACCTCAAGTAGAACCTCTACAAAATGAAAACTTGTTCATTTGCTTAGAGCTGTACATGTCCTGGGACCTATTACACCTCATCAGAAAAACACTGGTAATAATGTTGAAGGTACTGGGACATCTGGGAAGGGATCTTTCATGTAGGTAGAAGGAGCTGAGTCTGCCACTCCAGATGATGGTGATGGAAACTATTTTATCCTCAGGAAATACTTTCCTGCTTTCACAAAATGAGAAGTAGGCGAGAAGTCCAGGCTTCCTGTGCTTTCTTCTATAGTTATTTTAAGCATAGATTTTTCTACTGAGAGCCCTAGTTGGGAAGTGTGTTTTAATGATCATTACCAAACAATTTTCTGATGGAGGTGTAATTATTACAAATGTACCTGAGGCAATGACATTGTATTTAGTAGTCCATCTTTGATACATGATACATTTTGCTATGTATTCTGTTATCAGGTATCAGAAATTTAAAGAATCACTAGAAGGACAAGTTCTTTAGCTTTCTGCTGAAAGAAACTCGTAATCTGAGTTCTGATATTTATTCTATAATTTTGTCTTCTCCTTTTCTGGTTTATTTCAGCTGCCTTACAGAGTGTTTTTCCTCAGGCTGAGCTTGGGACATTTCTAACTCTTTCTAAAAAGGACAAAGAACGCCAGCTGAAAGAGCTCACCATGATTGTTACTGGAATTCGCTTATTTAACAGAGATTGTGGAAAAGGAGGCGAAGGCATTGATGATTGTAAGGATGTTATTAGGTTAATTCTAAAAGTGATGTATGTTTGAAATTTAAGCTGCACAGTGAGGAAAATAATACATAGCACATCACTGGCATTCTGAGGTTTTAAGATTTGCAATTTTGACTATTCCTTAAAAATGACTACTGTTCATAATATGTCATAATTCTTACTTTTGCTGAGGTAAGGCTGAATTTTATGTACCATGAAGCTAGTGCAAGACTGTGAATCAGTTGAAAAGAGGTGGGGGCCCTGCCAAGAGGCTAGGCTTTCCAGTTCAGCGAGGGTTTGTGTTTATTCCAAGTCACCCAAAGAAAATAAAACTATGTGACCTAAAAATAAAAAGTACCCTGGTAAGAAAACAGTTGCTTGTACTGTTAATGGAATACAAAAGTCCAAGGGGAGATATTTGCATATCTGTAAATTCAAGAGCATCTAGTATGTTGTTATAGAAATAACACATTCACTTTAAGTTTGAAAGTGTTTACAAAATACTTACTTCAGGACCTACCAGTAGAATTAACTCATTATGAATATGAATTTGGTATTCCTGTAGGCCCATTGAGAAGGTGTTGATGGCTTTCACCAGACTTCTGATCATTAAATGCTGGATCAGTATTTTTTTTGTTGTTTTTTTTTTGTTTGTTTTTCTCCGGTACCAGGAACCGAACTCATGACCTTGCGCTTGCCAGGCAGACGCTTTGCCGCTGAGCTAAATCCCCAGCCCCTGGATCAGTATTATTAGTAGGGTAATATTTTTCTTGTAGTAGGTCTGAGCCCAGGGCTTTGGGCCTGCTGGGCAAGTGCTCTACCACAGAGCTCTACCCACAGCCCTAACTTTTTCCATTTTAAAAGCTGTTTTAAAAAGTCAGGATCCCATTCTTCAGACAGTTTCTTCCTTACTAGACCCTTCTGTTTTCACCATCCAGAGGAGTTCCTGGTGAAGTATACTTCTTAAATTTGTTTTTACAAATAGAAAAGATGCTAGAAAGAGGGATTAGTGGCCATTTTAGAGGCAACTGGTCAATCGCACATAATACCAAAGTCTACCTATGCTTTAAACTCTTCTGTATTTTAGTGACAAAAGCTAATATGCTTTAACTTTTGGTTATCATTCTGACAATATCTTTTGCTTGAAGATGTTCTTTTTGGAGTCTTTTCTTTATAATATGGGACGATGAAACACTTGAGACTCATTATTAAGTTCATTGAGGAAAAAGACTAACTCAAAGTAATGCTTAAAGTATGTACCCTTTCTGGGCTCTTTTCTTCTTAACTTTTCTTTCACTCCCTTATGCCAGTCTTCTTATGCCCTCGCAAACAGTGCCAGCTATTCTCCATGAAGCCATCCCAGCCACCACTCAGTATATTGACTCCCAACTTCAGAATGCCCAGGAGCAGGTGTATCATTACACAGCCATCCTTGAGAAAGTGACGAAGAACCCACTCATGGGTCAAGAACTTCAGCAGTATATGATAAAAGAAGCACTCTATAATATGCGACAGTATGAGATCTTCCTGCAGATCATCTTGGTGAGTTCATTTCACAAGACCTGGACTTCTTTGTATAGTGTAATCTCTTTACAACCAGGTCATTAGTTAAGGAGGTGCTCAATGTATATCATATATCATATCAGGAGGGCCAGGAATTAAAACAGAAACAGGAAAGTTGGATTTTGACTTTAATGCAATTATATTGGTAGAAATTGATTTTGTATTTGCTGATTTTCTTTGGTACCTGATGGTTATGACATGCAGAAGTTAGGCAATGCTATGTCTGTGTACGAAAGTGAGATTGTGTTGTTTTAATTTGGAGCAAGTGTCTATTGTTTGGTAGGTAGTTGACTCTCAAATAATTTTTATGTAGTCAACTGTTTTTATTGTAAAAACTGATAGGAACAATTTTTATAGCTGACATCCTTAGCTCTCATGAACAAGCCAAACAGTACCCCCAGGCTATATGTATGACTCGGTCTGAAACTGCCACTGCAGTACACAACCTAGAAATCAACTTTCTGCACATAAGTTCTTTACAGATCCACACACTCCTAAGTGTTCTGTTTTGCTTATCTCCTTGAACTGTGAAGAGTTGAAAATACGATAAAGTGATCATTATAAACATTTTAAAGGCAGCAGTGCCCTTTCTTTCAGATAGAAACTTACTCAGAATGCTAAAACTATAAAGAAGAAAACTCAATGAAGGGATTGGAGGACCCATTTCACTTTGAAATATCCCCATGATACCTCAGGCTTCCAGTGAAGAGTTTACTGCTGTGTGTGATCAGGAAAAGAAAGTGCCTGTTCTCATACCACAGATGACATGGAAGGCTTCTGTAACTGCAGAAGGTCTGGGAATTTCTCGCCACCAGCAGAATAGCAATTTTGCTGCGATATTAGCTGGTTGTCCTCTAATCCAATTCAGTTCTGACCCTATCTGCCTGGAGACAGCATCAGTCCCACACACTGAGAGCTCAGTCTCAGGACTGTCCTCTGCCTCGCGCTCTTCAGGTACCAGTCATCCAAGCCCCAGCTTGCCTTACCCATCCTTCTGACCGACCAGCTGTAAACTAGGGTTCTCACGACGTCTTCCTTGGGTTTAATTAATTTGCTCCAGTGACTCACAGAACCCTGGGAAATAGTCACTTCATTTTACCAGTTTATTATAAAGAATGTGACAGAGGATACTGTGGAGATGTCTAGGAAAGGGATGGGAGCAAAGGTGTGGGCCTTGCATCTTCATTCACTCTGGGTGTGCCACCTTCCAGGAACCTCCATGTGCTCACTATCTGGAAGCTCTCCAAACTAAGTCCTTCTGGAATTTTTTTGAGACTTCATTGCATTGGCACGATTGCTAGTTGGCTGGGTAGGGGGACCCAGGAAGCCTTGCATGTTTAGGTCCTTCTTGGCCTTTCTGTGCAAGATTCCTCCCTCCAGGATATAGGAAAGAACCTCCTCCACACATACACCCTTGAATCAGAGTCTTATGACCTACTGTTGGACAAGGTTAGTTCAGAGAATTGCTTTATGGTCAGCTCTAAGAGAGACAAGGAAATCTCAGAGTTTCTATGACCTGCCTTAGGGAAGAGAAATTCTCCTTTTTATGGTTTACCATGGGAAGGAGTTATGAGCCAGGAGCTGTAAATTAAATTAAAATCCCAATATATACCAAAAGAGATCCAAGATGATGAGATACAATTGTAAATATATATGCAACACATACCAGTACACCCAACTATATAAAACACACACTAATAGATATGAAAAGTCCAGTAAGTACTAATTGTAATAGTGCACCTCAGTACCCCACTGTCACAAATAGATCAACTGGAGAAAAAAATCAACAAGGAAATCCCAGAGCTGAACCAAACTTTTGAATGAGTAGATATCTAGAATGTTTCACCCAACAGCAACTGAATACATATTTTCTTCAGTAGCACATGGGGCTTTCTCCAAAATAGACCACATACTAACTCAAGAACATGCTGAAGTAAATAACAAGTAATGAAATTGCAAATCAATGGCAAAAGAAGATACAAAAAATACATAAACAGTTGGAAATTAAAAAACCAATGGATCACAGATGAACTTGAAGAAAAAATTACACAGTTTCTACAATTAAATGATAAAGCCAGTACAACATACTGGAACTATGGCATGCAATGAAAGCAGTCCTATGAGGGTTATTTATAGCAATGAATTCCCACATCAGAAAAAGAGTGAGCTCAAATAAATAACATAATGTTGAATGTCAAGATTGTAGAAAAAGGAGAGCAAGTCAAGCTCAAAGCTTGTATGAAGAAGGACATTATAAAGATCAGAATAGAAATTAATGTAACCAAGACTTAAAAAAACCATAAAGTATCAGTACATCAAAGAGTTGGTTCTTGGAAAGATTAAATACAATACACAAAACTCTTAGCCAATCTTATCAAAAGAAGGAAAAAAAGACACCCAAATCCATGTAATTAGAAATGAAAAGTGTGAAATCACATTGAATCCTACAGAAATCCAGAAGATCATCACTACCTATTTTGAGAAGCTACACTAGCAGTCTTTTTTTTTGGTACTGGGGATCGAACTCATGACTTCATGCTTGCCAGCCAGGTGCTATGCCACTATGCCCCCTGTTTAAAAATAGTTTATTTATAGCATTTGTGTATGTGTGTCTGTTTTTTTATGCTTTACATTGTAAATGTATATTGTTGTCCAAGGTAAGAATGTGTGCTCTAATAAGATGGAAAATTCAGAAGAAACAGACAGATTCCTAGATACAAATGAATTACCAAAGCTTAATTAAGAAGATATAAAACTTCTAAATAACCCAATATTAATTAATGAAATTGAAAAAGTAATTTTAAAAATTCCAACACAGAAAGGCAGGTCCTGACAGATTCACTGCACAATTCTATAAGAACTCAAGAGAAGAGTTAATGCTGCTGTTCCTCAAACTCTTCAATGAACATGAAAAGAAAGTAAGATCCCCGTAGTCATTCCTAGAAGCAAGCATTATCCTGATGCAAAAACCAGAGAAGAATTCAACCAAAAAAGAGAACTATAGGCCCGTCTTCTTAATGAACATAGATACAAAAATCCTCAATAAAATACTGGCACACAGAATGGAACAAATCATCAAAAAGATAATACACCATGACCAAGTAGGATTCATCCCAGGAATGCAGGGATGGTTCAACATATGCAAATCAATAAATGAAATATACCACATTAACAGAATCAATGACAAACACCACACGATCATCTCAATAGATGTAGAAAAATCATTTGACAAAGTCCAACAGCCATTCATGATAAAACCCTACACAGAATTGGAATAGATGGTTTTTATTTCAATCTGATACAAGCTATCTATGGCAGACCAACAGCCAACATCATCCTAAATTGGCAAAACCTGAAAGCTTTCACTATAAATTCAGAAATAAGACAAGGATGCCCACTACCACTACTCCTATTCAATGTGGTTGTGGAAACATTAGCCAAAGCAAATAGACAAGAAAAAGAAATAAAAGGAATAAGAATAGGAAAGAAAGAAGTTAAGTTTTTGTTATTCGCAGATGACATGATACTCTGCACAGAAGACCCTAAGAAATTCACCAAAAGACTCCTAAAATTAATAAATGAATTCAGTATTATAGCAGGATACAAAGTCAACACTCAGAAATCAATAGCATTCCTGTACACAAATAACAAATGCACTAAGAAATAAATTAGGGAAACAACACCTTTTACAATAGCATGGACAAAAATGAAATACTTAGGAATTAGTCTAATGAAGGAAGTGAAAGACTATTACACTGAAAACTACAGTACTCTGACAAAGGAGATTGTCTCGGTTACTTTTCTCTCATTGCTGAGACAGAATACCTAACACCTAAAATTAAGGAAGCAAAGGTTTATTTAGCTCACAGTTTGTGGAGATTTCAGTCCATACTCAGCTGGTTCCAAGGCAGAGTGGCACATGGCAGAGGCAACAGTTCATGACAGCGGAAAGTAGCAAAAGCGGCAAGAGCAAAAGGGAGGAGGAGCAGTGGGAAGAGCAAGCCTCTTTCCCTCCTTATATTGTATGCACTCTTCCTGCCCCAGAGTGGTGGAGCTGTCACACCCATAATTGAAACATTGGACCATAGATCAATGATAAACTCTAGAAGCCCACCCCATGACTGCATGAGGCTTTGAGGGGACATCCAGACACAAACCATAACCGAGATGAAAGAAGATATCAGAAAATGGAAAGATATCCCTTGCCCATGAATAAGAACCAACATTGTGAAAATGGCCATACTCCCAAAACTGTTACACAGATTTAATACCATCCCAATCAAAATAGCAAAGCATACCTCACAGAATCAAAGAAAACAATCCTAAAATTCACATGGTCCCAAATCAGTAGCATTCCTGTACACAAATAACAAATGCACTAAGAGATAAATTAGGGAAACACCTTGTACAATAGCATTGACAAAAATGAAATACTTAGGAATCAGTCTAATGAAGGAAGTGAAAGACTATTACACTGAAAACTACAGTACTCTGAAAAAGGAGATTGTCTTGGTTACTTTTCTCTCATTGCTGAGACAGAATACCTAACACCCAAAATTAAGGAAGCAAAGGTTTATTTAGCTCACAGTCCCAGAAGAGACCCAGAACAGCAAAAGCAATTCTGGACAAGAGAAAGGCACAGGGCATTACAATTCCTGAGTTGAAGTTATACTGTGAACCCCTAGGGAAAGAAACAGTATGTTATTGACAAAAAACAAAACAAACAAAAAACAGACTTGATGGCTGATGGATCATAGTACAAGATGCAGAAAGAAGTCTATGTAAACTTAATTTCCTTATCTTTGATAAGGAGGACAAACACCTTCACTACAAGAAAAATAGCCTCTTTCCTAAATGGTACTGGAAAAACTGGCTTTCCACAGGCTGAAGGCTGAACCTAGTTTTCATGCACTAAACTAAAATTAGAATGGATCAAAGATCTACCTATAAAAACAGAAACAATCTTCTGGAAGATAAAT